CGACCTATGTAACTGTATGTCGACCTATGTAACTGTCGACCTGTGTAACTGTATGTCGACCTATGTAACTGTCGACCTGTGTAACTGTATGTCGACCTATGTAACTGTCGACCTGTGTAACTGTATGTCGACCTATGTAACTCGACCTGTGTAACTGTACGTCGACCTATGTAACTGTCGACCTGTGTAACTGTACGTCGACCTATGTAACTGTCGACCTGTGTAACTATGTCGACCTATGTAACTGTCGACCTGTGTAACTGTATGTCGACCTATGTAAGTGTACGTAGACATATGTAACTGTCGACATGTGTAACTGTCGACCTGTCGAATGTCTAAATAGTCAATTTAAACGTGTTTCAGGTCCCTTTCGTGTTCTTTTGTTTGAGACAATAGAAGGAGGTAGAGACGACCATCAACGACCTCACACACTTAGACTGTCGGAGCATCAGTCACCAAAACTGTCGGAATGTTACGAGAGAAACTGTCTGTATGGTCATGTCTGCAGTGATGGTGATACAACCTCCAACAACATCACTAGTGAAAGCACAATCTCCAACAACAGCACTAGTGATGGTGATACAACCTCCAACAGCACTAGTGAAAGCACAATCTCCAACAACAGCACTAGTGATGGTGATACAACCTCCAACAACAGCACTAGTGATGGTAATACAACCTCCAACAACAGCACTAGTGATGGTGATACAACCTGCAACAACAGCACTATGATTGGTAATACAACCTCCAACAACAGCACTAGTGATGGTGATACAACCTCCAACAACAGCACTAGTGATGGTAATACAACCTCCAACAACAGCACTAGTGATGGTGATACAACCTGCAACAACAGCACTAGTGATGGTAATACAACCTCCAACAACAGCACTAGTGATGGTGATACAACCTCCAACAACAGCACTAGTGATGGTGATACAACCTCCAACAACAGCACTAGTGATGGTAATACAACCTCCAACAACAGCACTAGTGATGGTGATACAACCTCCAACAACAGCACTAGTGATGGTAATACAACCTCCAACAACAGCACTAGTGATGGTGATACAACCTCCAACAACACTAGTGATGGTGATACAACCTCCAACAGCACTAGTGATGGTAATACAACCTCCAACAACAACACTAGTGATGGTAATACAACCTCCAACAACAGCACTAGTGATGGTAATACAACCTCCAACAACAGCACTAGTGATGGTGATACAACCTCCAACAACAGCACTAGTGATGGTAATACAACCTCCAACAACAGCACTAGTGATGGTAATACAACCTCCAACAACAGCACTAGTGATGGTGATACAACCTCCAACAACAGCACTAGTGATGGTAATACAACCTCCAACAGCACTAGTGATGGTAATACAACCTCCAACAACAGCACTAGTGATGGTAATACAGCCTCCAACAACAGCACTAGTGATGGTAATACAACCTCCAACAACAGCACTAGTGATGGTGATACAACCTCCAACAACAGCACTAGTGATGGTAATACAACCTCCAACAACAGCACTAGTGATGGTGATACAACCTCCAACAACAGCACTAGTGATGGTGATACAACCTCCAACAACACTAGTGATGGTAATACAACCTCCAACAACAGCACTAGTGATGGTGATACAACCTCCAACAACAGCACTAGTGATGGTGATACAACCTCCAACAACACTAGTGATGGTAATACAACCTCCAACAACAGCACTAGTGATGGTGATACAACCTCCAACAACACTAGTGATGGTGATACAACCTCCAACAACAGCACTAGTGATGGTGATACAACCTCCAACAACAGCACTAGTGATGGTGATACAACCTCCAACACTAGTGATGGTAATAACCTCCAACAGCACTAGTGATGGTGATACAACCTCCAACAACAGCACTAGTGATGGTGATACAACCTCCAACAACAGCACTAGTGATGGTGATACAACCTCCAACAACAGCACTAGTGATGGTGATACAACCTCCAACAACAGCACTAGTGATGGTGATACAACCTCCAACAACAGCACTAGTGATGGTGATACAACCTCCAACAACAGCACTAGTGATGGTGATACAACCTCCAACAACAGCACTAGTGATGGTGATACAACCTCCAACAACAGCACTAGTGATGGTGATACAACCTCCAACAACAGCACTAGTGATGGTGATACAACCTCCAACAACAGCACTAGTGATGGTGATACAACCTCCAACACTAGTGATAGTAATAACCTCCAACAACAGCACTAGTGATGGTGATACAACCTCCAACAGCACTAGTGATGGTGATACAACCTCCAACAACAGCACTAGTGATGGTGATACAACCTCCAACAACAGCACTAGTGATGGTAATACAACCTCCAACAAACAGCACTAGTGATGGTATACAAACCTCCAACAACAACACTAGTGATGGTGATACAACCTCCAACACTAGGTGATGGTGATACAACCTCCAACAACAGCACTAGTGATGGTAATACAACCTCCAACAACAGCACTAGTGATGGTGATACAACCTCCAACAACAGCACTAGTGATGGTAATACAACCTCCAACAACAGCACTAGTGATGGTAATACAACCTCCAACAACAGCACTAGTGATGGTGATACAACCTCCAACAACAGCACTAGTGATGGTAATACAACCTCCAACAACAGCACTAGTGATGGTAATACAACCTCCAACAACAGCACTAGTGATGGTGATACAACCTCCAACAGCACTAGTGATGGTGATACAACCTCCAACAACAGCACTAGTGATGGTGATACAACCTCCAACAGCACTAGTGATGGTGATACAACCTCCAACAACAGCACTAGTGATGGTAATACAACCTCCAACAACAGCACTAGTGATGGTAATACAACCTCCAACAACAGCACTAGTGATGGTGATACAACCTCCAACAGCACTAGTGATGGTGATACAACCTCCAACAACAGCACTAGTGATGGTGATACAACCTCCAACAACAGCACTAGTGATGGTGATACAACCTCCAACACTAGTGATAGTAATAACCTCCAACAACAGCACTAGTGATGGTGATACAACCTCCAACAGCACTAGTGATGGTGATACAACCTCCAACAACAGCACTAGTGATGGTGATACAACCTCCAACAACAGCACTAGTGATGGTAATACAACCTCCAACAACAGCACTAGTGATGGTAATACAACCTCCAACAACAACACTAGTGATGGTGATACAACCTCCAACACTAGTGATGGTGATACAACCTCCAACAACAGCACTAGTGATGGTAATACAACCTCCAACAACAGCACTAGTGATGGTAATACAACCTCCAACAACAGCACTAGTGATGGTGATACAACCTCCAACAGCACTAGTGATGGTGATACAACCTCCAACAACAGCACTAGTGATGGTGATACAACCTCCAACAACAGCACTAGTGATGGTGATACAACCTCCAACAACAGCACTAGTGATGGTGATACAACCTCCAAACAGCACTAGTGATGGTGATACAACCTCCAACAACAGCACTAGTGATGGTGATACAACCTCCAACAACAGCACTAGTGATGGTGATACAACCTCCAACAACAGCACTAGTGATGGTGATACAACCTCCAACAACAGCACTAGTGATGGTGATACAACCTCCAACAACAACACTAGTGATGGTGATACAACCTCCAACAACAGCACTAGTGATGGTGATACAACCTCCAACAACAGCACTAGTGATGGTGATACAACCTCCAACAGCACTAGTGATGGTGATACAACCTCCAACAACAGCACTAGTGATGGTGATACAACCTCCAACAACAACACTAGGGAAGCTGTATAACCAGGACCCACCAATATTTAAGTGTATTGTGTCAACAAGTCACAAGACTTCAACTGCACACATAAATCCGCATCTTGCGAACCAGCGTTCAGCCAAATCATTTGATCTTGGTCTCCCTGCAGCCGGATATCCTGGCAGAGATGCAATTGCTAAACCCTTGCTTTCATAAGCAGATATTGCAAATTGCAAACAATGGTGTACTGATTAAGAACTGGACAATGGAAGAACGTAACTTCTGGCAGAATTTCGGTCTGGAGACAGTCTATAGAAGCTTATAATTTGTGAAGTATGGATGTGGATCCATGATGATTTGGGCAGCAATATCGTGGAATTGTCTTGGCCTGGCACTAGCACCGCAAGGCAGGTCAGCACCCAAACATATCTGTCGGGGTCAAGTGAAACACCAAATCAAGAACCGATTTCCTCTAAGGTCGTCTTAGGAAGAGTTAGAAGCAGCTGTGTTTGAGGTACACCTCCAAACTCCCCCGGGAACTGTTTACGTGCTATATAAATCAACTCTTTCACGAACTGGTGTTTTAGTTATAACTGGAGGACCCAACTGGAGGACCCAACTGGAAGACTCAACTGGAAGACCCAACTGGAGGACCCAACTGGAAGACTCAACTGGAGGACTCAAATGGAGGACCCAACTGGAGGACTCAAATGGAGGACCCAACTGGAGGACTCAAATGGAGGACCCAACAGGAGGACACAAATGGAGGACACAAATGGAGGACACAAATGGAGGACACAAATGGAGGACTCAAATGGAGGACCCAACTCCATGTTCTAAACAGAACATGGAGTTGGGTCATATTTAATCCAACCCTCAAACATATTAGACAGAAACAGATTACTAAATTCCATTAGTCTGCCCATAATTACCGATATAAAATAGTCCACCATTAAATACTAAACATAAGCACAATAGTCTACCATCAATTTACTCCAAATAACAAAAAAATCAACAAAGAAATGAAACAAAAAAACATATTTGTCTGTAATAAAGGAAACTAAAGGTAAATATAGATACTAACTAGCAGTAACGGTATGCAAATGAGAGAACACTGAGGCAGGTAGGTAGCGTTAGTAAGACTATACTGACTGTTGTTCCATAATGACCTTTCACTCTACCTTGACTGATGAAGGTGTCGTAGTAATTAAGCAGGTTGGCTCTCTGTAACACCCGGTACAGTTGTAACTCTGACTCGTTCGATGGTTGTGATGTTACCGCCACTGTAACGATAATGTCTTCATATTAGTTTAGTTAGCCCTCAATATGTTGATATTAGTTTAGTTAGCCCTCAATATGTTAATATTAGTTTAGTTATCCCTCAATATGTTAATATTAGTTTAGTTATCCCTCAATATGTTAATATTAGTTTAGTTATCCCTTAATATGTTAATATTAGTTTAGTTATCCCTCAATATGTTAATATTAGTTTAGTTATCCCTCAATATGTTAATATTAGTTTAGTTATCCCTCAATATGTTAATATTAGTTTAGTTATCCCTCAATATGTTAATATTAGTTTAGATATCCCTCAATATGTTAATATTAGTTCATCCCTCAATATGTTAATACTAGTTTAGTTATCCCTCAATATGTTAATATTAGTTTATCCCTCAATATGTTAATACTAGTTTAGTTATCCTTCAATATGTTAATATTAGTTTAGTTATCCCTCAATAAGTTAATACTAGTTTAGTTATACCTCAATATGTTAATATTAGTTTTTTCCCTCAATATGTTAATACTAGTTTAGTTATCCCTCAATATGTTAATATTAGTTTAGTTATCCCTCAATATGTTAATATTAGTTTAGTCATCCCTCAATATGTTCATATTAGTTTAGTTAGCCCTCAATATGTTATTAGTTTATCCCTCAATATGTTAATACTAGTTTAGTTATCCCTCAATATGTTAATATTAGTTTAGTTATCCCTCAATATGTTAATATTAGTTTAGTTATCCCTCAATATGTTAATACTAGTTTAGTTATCCCTCAATATGTTAATATTAGTTTAGTTATCCCTCAATATGTTAATACTAGTTATCCCTCAATATGTTAATATTAGTTTAGTTATCCCTCAATATGTTAATATTAGTTTAGTTATCCCTCAATATGTTAATAATAGTTTAGTTATCCCTCAATATGTTAATACTAGTTTAGTTATCCCTCAATATGTTAATACTAGTTTAGTTATCCCTCAATATGTTAATATTAGTTTATCCCTCAATATGTTAATACTAGTTTAGTTATCCTTCAATATGTTAATATTAGTTTAGTTATCCCTCAATAAGTTAATACTAGTTTAGTTATACCTCAATATGTTAATATTAGTTTATCCCTCAATATGTTAATACTAGTTTAGTTATCCCTCAATATGTTAATATTAGTTTAGTTATCCCTCAATATGTTAATATTAGTTTAGTCATCCCTCAATATGTTCATATTAGTTTAGTTAGCCCTCAATATGTTATTAGTTTATCCCTCAATATGTTAATACTAGTTTAGTTATCCCTCAATATGTTAATATTAGTTTAGTTATCCCTCAATATGTTAATATTAGTTTAGTTATCCCTCAATATGTTAATACTAGTTTAGTTATCCCTCAATATGTTAATATTAGTTTAGTTATCCCTCAATATGTTAATACTAGTTATCCCTCAATATGTTAATATTAGTTTAGTTATCCCTCAATATGTTAATATTAGTTTAGTTATCCCTCAATATGTTAATAATAGTTTAGTTATCCCTCAATATGTTAATACTAGTTTAGTTATCCCTCAATATGTTAATACTAGTTTAGTTATCCCTCAATATGTTAATATTAGTTATCCCTTAATATGTTAATATTAGTTTAGTTATCCCTCAATATGTTAATATTAGTTTAGTTATCCCTCAATATGTTAATATTAGTTTAGTTATCCCTCAATGTTAATATTAGTTTAGTTATCCCTCAATATGTTAATATTAGTTTAGTTATCCCTTAATATGTTAATATTAGTTATCCCTTAATATGTTAATATTAGTTTAGTTATCCCTCAATATGTTAATATTAGTTTAGTTATCCCACAATGTTAATATTAGTTTAGTTATCCCTCAATATGTTAATATTAGTTTAGTTATCCCTTAATATGTTAATATTAGTTATCCCTTAATATGTTAATATTAGTTTAGTTATCCCTTAATATGTTAAGTAAAAAGACTTCAAAGTGTAACTAATGTCGTACTTTACTGTGGCAACGTTTCGCTCACCAGGAGCTTTATCAAAACAGTTACAATACATACATTGAAGACAGAGACTTATGCAATATATGGGAATCTTTATTGAAGAAACGTTTCGCCCCACTGACTTCATCAGTCTAATACAAAGCAGAAAGGTGTAAAGAGGAGGAGTCTGAGGTAATCAGTCCCTCAACCTGGAGTCCATGTTCACTATATGTTGAATTACTACTTATCTCCTGGAGAGCGAAACGTTGCCACAATGTTACATTAGTTACACTTGTTTTCTTTTACTAACAAAATCAGCGTTAACGGTGTTAACATCAGTGTTAACAACAGTGATAACAAGTGTTAAGTGATAACAGTGTTAACAAGTGATAAGAGTGTTAACAGTGTAAACATCAGTATTAACATCAGTGTTAACATTGATAACAGTGTTAACATCAGTGTTAACAAGTGATAACAGTGATAACAGTGTTAACAAGAGTGTTAACAGTGTTAACAGTGATAACAATGTTAACAGTATTAACAGTGATAACAGTGTTAACAACAGTGATAACAGTGTTAACAAGTGATAACAGTGTTAACAACAGTGTTAACAAGTGTTAACAGTGATAACAGTGTTAACAAGTGTTAACAGTGATAACAGTGTTAACAAGTGTTAACAGTGTTAACAACAGTGATAACAGTGTTAACAACAGTGATAACAGTGATAAGTGATAACAGTGTTAACAACAGTGATAGTGTTAACAAGTGATAACAGTGTTAACAACAGTGTTAGCAAGTGTTAACATCAGTATTAACAATACAATAATAATCATCATAATAATAATAATCAAAGAACTAACATTATCACTGACAAGATTCTTCTTATTTATTATGTAATTATATACGACGATATTCTCAGTGTTATACATGGAATATATACTGAGGTGTATGTCTCAGTATATACACTGAGAGGTGTATGTCTCTCAGTATATACACTGAGAGGTCTATGTCTCTCAGTATATACACTGAGAGGTCTATGTCTCTCAGTATATACACTGAGAGGTGTATGTCTCTCAGTATATACACTGAGGGGGTCTATGTCTCTCAGATATATACACTGAGAGGTCTATGTCTCTCAGTATATACACTGAGAGGTCTATGTCTCTCAGTATATACACTGAGAGGTCTATGTCTCTCAGTATATACACTGAGAGGTCTATGTCTCTCAGTATATACACTGAGAGGTCTATGTCTCAGTATATACACTGAGAGGTACATGTCTCTCAGTATATATACACTGAGGTGTATGTCTCTCAGTATATAAACTGAGAGGTGTATGTCTCTCAGTATATACACTGAGAGGTCTATGTCTCTCAGTATATACACTGAGAGGTCTATGTCTCTCAGTATATACACTGAGAGGTCTATGTCTCTCAGTATATACACTGAGAGGTCTATGTCTCCTCAGTATATACACTGAGAGGTCTATGTCTCTCAGTATATACACTGAGAGGTCTATGTCTCTCAGTATATACACTGAGAGGTCTATGTCTCTCAGTATATACACTGAGAGGTCTATGTCTCTCAGTATATACACTGAGAGGTCTATGTCTCTCAGTATATACACTGAGAGGTCTATGTCTCTCAGTATATACACTGAGAGGTCTATGTCTCTCAGTATATACACTGAGAGGTCTATGTCTCTCAGTATATACACTGAGAGGTCTATGTCTCTCAGTATATACACTGAGAGGTCTATGTCTCTCAGTATATACACTGAGAGGTCTATGTCTCTCAGTATATACACTGAGAGGTCTATGTCTCTCAGTATATACACTGAGAGGTCTATGTCTCAGTATATACACTGAGAGGTACATGTCTCTCAGTATATATACATAGGTGTATGAAAAAGGGGTTAACTCAGTTTAAAATAAAATAAAAAATAATTAAAATGAAAAAATACACTCAAGTTTTTTTTTATTATGAATTATATCACGAATTTTTCCATTTTATCAGGAAATTTTGGGGTTTGTTTCTGAAACGGGGGTGGTTTAAAAACATGAGATCACTTAATAACACTGGGGGGTTAGTTTTAGATTTAAACCCAATTAACAATTTTATGCCTTTTGTTAAAATAAAACTTTCCCCATTTAAACTAATTTGCCTCGTATTAATGATTTACCCATTAACCAACAAGCCTTTAATAATAACTTTCCCATTAACCAAAAAAGAAAAAAAAATGGTGTATTTTAGATAAATAGATTTTTTTAAAAACCATTACCAATTAATAAACCCTCGTTATAAGAACATTTCCATTAACCAATTATGCCCCGTTATAAGACTTTCCCATAACACTAGACACCCCCTCTTATAATAGATCTTCCCAAAAATTTACACTGAGAGTCTTTCCCCCATTACCAATTATGCCCTCGTTATAATAGATTTTTCCCTTTTTCACAATTATGCCTCTATATAACTAACATTCCCCCCAAATACACAATCTTTCCCAAAACATAACACCCTCCAAAACAAATCAGCTCCAAAAAAACAGAGGCACCCCAAAACACAATTTTTCCAAATACACAAATTTTCCCAAAAAAAAGGGGGAAAGCCCAAAAAATAAGGGGGAACCCAAAAAAAATACCGGAACAAAACTAATTAAACAAAAACCCCAAAAAACAAAAATTTATACCTTTTTCCCAATTTAACCAAAACACAAGACCAAAAAATCCCCAAAAAACCATTATACAGCCCCCACAAACAAAGGGTATTAAAACCAAAAACCCCAAACCCCTTAAACCCCCAGAAAAACCCAAAAAACCCAAACCAAACCAAAACCCTTTAAAAACAAAAAAAACCCCAAACCAACCTTTAAACCCCCCCAAAAACAAAAACCCATTCCAAAAAACCCTTAAACCCCCGGGAAAAACAACCTTACCACAAACCCCCAAAAAATTTTAAAACCCAAACCCCCCCAAACCCCCAAAAACTTTAAACCACAACCAACCAACCCCAAAA